GTCTGTACACCCGCTGTGCCCCTATGAGGGGTTCCCACCATCCCTGTGCTGAGTTCCCGGGTCTGTACACCCGCTGTGCCCCTATGAGGGGTTCCCACCATCCCTGTGCTGAGTTCCCGGGTCTGTACACCCGCTGTACCCATTATGAGGGGTTCCCACCATCCCTGTGCTGAGTTCCCGGGTCTGTACACCCGCTGTGCCCATTATGAGGGGTTCCTGCCAGGGGCAGACTGACAACTCATGGGGCCCCCAGGCAATAGGGGATCATGGGCCCCTGTGTCCTTGCCCACACTCAAAGCACACCCAAAAAAGCCTATAAAAAAGGTACCAGGGGCATTTCATGGGGCCCCCTACTGACCTTGGGCCCTCAGGCAATGCCCGAGTGCTCGAATGGTCAGTCCGCCCCTGGTTCCCACAATCCCTTTGCTGAGTTCCCGGGTCTGTACACCCACTGTGCCCATTATGAGGGGTTCCCACCATCCCTGTGCTGAGTTCCCGGGTCTGTACACCTGCTGTTCCTCGTATGAGGGGTTCCCACCATCCCTGTGCTGAGTTCCCGGGTCTGTACACCCGCTATGCCCATTATGAGGCGTTCCCGCCATCCCTTTGCTGAGTTCCCGGGTCTGTACACCGTCTGTGCCCATTATGAGGGGTTCCCACCATCCCTTTGCTGAGTTCCCGGGTCTGTACACCTTCTGTGCCCATTATGAGGGGTTCCCACCATCCCTGTGCTGAGTTCCCAGGTCTGTACACCTGCTATTCCTCGTATGAGGGGTTCCCACCATCCCTGTGCTGAGTTCCCGGGTCTGTACACCTGCTGTGCCCATTATGAGGGGTTACCACCATCCCTGTGCTGAGTTCTCAAGTCTGTACACCCGGGACCAGGGATTCCCACCAGATCCCTCAAGGTTGTCCATCTGAATCCACCAAGATGACTATACCAGAGATCCCGGAGAGGATTGGAGGACCTGAGAGGGAAGTATTATAGGACGGGTAGTGCTTACACTGAGAACAGCTACAAGACCCGGGAGTTGCTCCACTGTCTGTCTCGGCTGCACTTTGACCTCATCTGTTCCTGCACAGCTCCAGGCTGAAAAACAGACATTAGTTAGTCATTGCCGTCCACAAAGGGTCTTCAAGGTGAAACTTCAGACAGAACTCGTTGGATTCTCAGCTGGAATTTTACTGCTGGGTCAGAAGGTTTCCCTTCACTTCCTGTTCTGGTGACCCCGGACTAACCCATGTTGAACCCGGTTACTAACCTGATCCTTCCCATCCCCTAAACCGCAGCCCCTTACCCGAATTTAGTCTCATCCCTACCATGTTCTAAACTCGAACACCCAACCCGCATCCAACCCCCTACCTTCGTTTATTCCGTAACCCTCAACCCAGCTAACCTCCTAAATGTGACATTCTGATCTCCAACCCTATCCCCATTCCAACCACTTATTTTACCTCCCAACTCCTACTCCAACCTAGACCCCAACCTCTAACCGTCAACCCAAACCCCCACATGACCTCTAACCCCATTCAACCCCTTACTTTGTTTTACCTCCTAACTTCAACCTTCTAACCCTCAACCTTACCTTAACCCAATGTTCCTCAACCAGGGTTCTGTGGAACCCCATAGTTCCTCCTGAGGTTTCTAGGATTCCTGGAGCAGTGAGCAATGGTGGGATGATCCCCCATCTATACCGCCCTCCAATGTAAGGGATCAGGTCTATACTGTCCTCTAATATTAGAGGACACCACAATATCCTTGTCTTTTTATCAGGGGTTCCCCAAGAACCTGAAACCCATTTCAAGAGGTCCCGAAAGTAAAAAGGTTGAGAAAGGCTGCCCTCCTAACCCATTAACTGTCAACCCAACTAACCTAGCCTCTAAATGTAACTTTCTGATCTCCAACCCTTTATTTTAACTCCTAACTTGAACCTTCTAACCTGAACCCTTACCCCAACCGTCAACCCAAACCCCCAAATGACCTCTGACCCCAATCAACCCCTTACTTTGTTTTACCTCCTAACTTCAACCTTCTAACCCTCAACCTTACCCTAACCCATTGTTACTCAACCAGGGTTCCGTGGAACCCCAAAGTTCCTCCTGAGGTTTTCTAGGATTCCTGGAGCAGTGAGCACCTATACCGACCTCCAATGCAAGGGATCATGTCTATACTGTCCTCTAATTTTAGAGGACACCACAATGTTCTTGTCTTTTCATCAGGGGTTCTCCAAAAACCTGCAACCTCTTTCAAGAGTTCCACAAAAGTAAAAAAGGTTGAGAAAGTCTGCCATAACCCATTAACTGTCAACCCAACTAACCTAGCCTCTAAATGTAACTTTCTGATCTCCAACCCTTTATTTTACCTCCTAACTTGAACCTTCTTTCCTGAACCCTTACTCTGAACTTTAACCATCAACTCAATCTGCAATCCAAACCCCCAACCTAACCCATAAATGGAACATTAATTTTGACTCCTAACCTCATCCAAGCCCATATCTTATTTTACCTCCAAACTTGAACCTTCTCTCAATCAATGTTTCTCAACTAAGATACATGTCTAGAGGACACCACAATATTCTTGTCTATTTAGCAGGGGTTCCCCGAGAACCCGAAACATATTTCAAGAGTTCTACGGGAGTAAAAAGATGGAGAAAGGCTGCCCTAATCCATTACCAGTCAACCCAACTAACCTAGCCTCTAAATGTAACTTTCTGATCTCCAACCCTTTATTTTACCTCCTAACTTGAACCTTCTCTCAACCATGGGACCATGTCATGTTCTCCAAAAACCTGCAACCTATTTCAAGAGGTCCCCTAAAGTAAAAAGGTGAAGAAAGGCTGCCCTAACCCATTAATCGTCAACCTAACTAACCTAGCCTCTAAATGTAACTTTCTGATCTCCAACCCTTTATTTTACCTCCTAACTTGAACCTTCTATCCTGAACCCTTACCCTGAACTTTAGCCATCAACCCAACCTGCAATCCAAACCCCCAACCTAACCCATAAATGTAACATTAATTTTGACCCCTAACATCATCCAAGTCCATATCTTATTTTACCTCCAAACTTGAACCTTCTCTCAATCAATGTTTCTCATCTAAGGATCATATCTAGAGGACACCACAATATTCTTGTCTATTTAGCAGGGGTTCCCCGTGAACCCGAAACCTATTTCCGAGTTCCCTGAAAGTAAAAAGGTTGAGAAAGTCTGCGCTAACCCATTAACCGTTCACTCAACTAACCTAGCCTCTAAATGTAACGATCTCCAACTCTTTATTTTACCTCCTATCTTGAACCTTCTAACCTGAACCCTTACCCTAACCTTTAACCATCACTCAATCAGCAATCCAAACCCCCAACCTAACCCATAAATGGAACATTAATTTTGACCCCTAACCTCATCCAAGCCCATATCTTATTTTACCTCCAAACTTGAACCTTCTCTCAATCAATGTTTCTCATCTAAGGATCATGTCTAGAGGACACCACAATATTCTTGTCTATTTAGCAGGGGTTCCCTGAGAACCCAAAACCTGTTTCAAGAGTTCCACGGGAGTAAAAAGATGGAGAAAGGCTGCCCTAATCCATTCACAGTCAACCCAACTATCCTGGCCTCTAAATGTAATGTTCTGATCTCCAACCCTTTATTTTACCTCCTAACTTGAACCTTCTCTCAACCTAAACCCTAACCCAATGTTTCTCAACCAGGGACCATGTCATGTTCTCCAAAAACCTGCAACCTATTTCAAGAGGTCCCCTAAAGTAAAAAGGTGAAGAAAGGCTGCCCTCCTAACCCATTAATCGTCAACCTAACTAACCTAGCCTCTAAATGTAACTTTCTGATCTCCAACCCTTTATTTTACCTCCTAACTTGAACCTTCTATCCTGAACCCTCACCCTAAACTTTAACCGTCAACCCAACCTGCAATCCAAACCCCCAACCTAACCCATAGATGTAACATTAATTTTGACTCCTAACCTCATCCAAGCCCATATCTTATTTTACCTCCTAGCTTGAACCTTCTAACCTGAACCCTCACCCTAAACGTTAGCCATCAACCCAACCTGCAATCCAAACCCCCAACCTATATTAGAGGACACCACAATATTCTTGTCTTTTTATCAGGGGTTCCCCAAGAACCTGAAACTCATTGCAAGAGGTCCCTGAAAGTAAAGATGGAGAAAGGTTAACCCATTAACTGTCAACCCAACTAACCTAGCCTCTAAATGTAACTTTCTGATCTCCAACTCTTTATTTTACCTCCTAACTTGAACCTTCTAACCTGAACCCTCACCCTAAACTTTAGCCATCAACCCAACCTGCAATCCAAACCCCCAACCTATATTAGAGGACACCACAATATTCTTGTCTTTTTATCAGGGGTTCCCCGAGAACCCGAAACCTATTTCAAGAGTTCCACGGGAGTAGACAGGTTGACAAACGTTGCCTGAACCCATCGAACATCCTAGAGAAGCACAGAGACCCAATGATGACATTACTGGGATCAAAATAAGGAATGTATCAAACCCAGGAAGGTTTTATTTCAAAAGGTCAATATTAAAAAAAAAAAGAGGAACCGGAGAAGGCAAAACATAAGCAGAATAAACTTCGATTTTAACATTTCAAGGAAATGGTGATGTGAAAATATGGACCGGATGAGTATTTGGAAATGTTGAACCCGGTGATCTCGTTGTAGATGGCTCTAAGGACTGTTCCTGCCCAATTCCCGTGGTTGGTCTTTATACATGTGTCTTTCACAGCCTCTCTCATCCAGGGTTCCGTGGAACCCTAGAGCTCCTTCTGAGCTTGCTAGGGGTTCCTTGAGCAATGAGAACTTTGTGACTCACAGTTACCACGGAACCTCTCAGCTGTCTTTACGAGGGGGAATATTCTGAAGGACCACCAATGTAAGGAGAATTCTTCCCAGTGTGACCATCACCCCAAGGTACCGTAACCCGAATATATAGTAATTATTGGCAGGGGTTCCATGAGACTAAATTTATTTCAAGGGTTCCCCCATGTTGATAAAGGGGGAGGTAGTATATAGGCTCTGCTGTAGCGGCGTCCAGAAGGATGACCCCGACGTATATATCCAATGACGGGAAGTTCCACCTACCATCTGTAAACCATCGCCGGACGCCATGTCACCGGATCCTATATGTGTCAGGTGTACAAAATTCATGGGCTCCCCGATCATGGATCGATCGATTCTCCTCCTCTTCTTTTTCTGGAGAACACAAAACGATAGAGATGAGCTAAAAAACATCAGATTAGGCAAATCCCCCCCCAAAAGTACTTCAACGTAGGACCAAAAGGAATAAAAATGGGTTTGGCAAACATCAGAAACGTCTCCTTCCCCAAAGACTTAACCGGCCAAAGTGGCTCGAAAGATTGGCGTCCCGGTAGAGCTGTCCGGTCAGCGGCTCTGACTGACCACTAGCCTTCCCGTTCTTCTGATACAATGCAACCAATGACCTTTTTGGTTTTTGCCTCCAGCATTCGGATTGGGTCAGTGCAGAGGGTCAAAGAGGGGGTAAAAGCAAATGGGTTGGCATGGGGCCCAGAAGGCTTTGGGGCTACGGAATTTGACACCACGAGTGACCCCCCCCCCCCCCTTCCCGTACTCAAAACAAGGCTAACAAGCCAAAAGGGAAACTAGAATGGTTATGGAGATATTGGAGGTCCGGAGCTTTGGACTGACTTTTGAACCCATAAAGCTCCCGGAAACGTATACAAAAACTTCAGAACTTTTACTGCCGTTGGTAAATAATTGTTACAAAAAAAAACAAAAAAAAAAAAAAACGATTATTTACCAATGGCAGTAAATGTTCTGAAGTTTTTGTATACGTTTCCGGGAGCTTTATGGGTTCGAACGTCAGTCCAAAAACTAAAGCTCTGGTCCCTTGGATTTTTTCAATTTGTGTACAAATGTCAGCATGAGCTATTGAGCTCTGTAAACTCGTTTTTTCAACCGCCGCAAAGGAGGAGTTGATCCTTGCAAGTACGTTTTTGTGCTGCGATTGATTCAGCTACATTATTACAAGCTATCCGGGTTCAAAAAGCAACCTCAGAAGGTAAACTTCTGGACTTCTACCAGTGCTGAGATAAGTTCCTCTAGCACCCAAGGGTGCAAAGGTTCACTTGTGCCCCGTCATGAGCTGTGAACAGCAGTATAAGTTGCAGGTCTGGTCCTTTTTGCACCCCCATCATACTGAAGCTCCCAAGGCGACTGCCTCTTCTGCCTACCCCTCGGCCCGCTTCTGACTTCTACCAGTGCTGAGATAAGTTCCTCTAGCACCCAAGGGTGCAAAGGATCACTTGTGCCCCGTCATGAGCTGTGGACAGCAGCATAATTTGCAGGTCCGGTCCTATTTGTACCCCCATCATGCTGAAGCTCCCAAGGCGACCACCTCTTCTGCCTACCCCTCGGCCCGCTTCTGACTTCTACCAGTGCTGAGTTAAGTTCCTCTAGCACCCAAGGGTGCAAAGATTCAATCGCCCCCGCCCCCACGAGCTGTGAAGTGCCTCGGCAGCATAGGTTGCAGGACCTGTCCTTTTTGCACCCTGATTATGATTAAGCACCCACCCGGCATTCATTCCCGTAAAGAAGTCCCTGCAATAGGTTATTCCTTTGTGTAAATGTCAACTTGAGCTACTGAGCTCTGTAAAGCGGAGTTATTCATCGCAAAGTACCTTGTGTTGCAATTGATTCAGCTAAAATATTACAACCCATCTGGGTTCAAAAATCAAAATAAAGGCAACCTTCTGGACTTCTACCAGTGCTGAGATAAGTTCCTCTAGCACCCAAGGGTGCAAAGATTCGCTTTTTTCCCCTTTATTAGCTGTGAACAGCAGCATAAGTTGCAGGTCCGGTCCTTTTTGCACCCCCCATCATGCTTAAGCACCCAAGGCGGCTGCCTCTTCTGCCTACCCCTCGGCCCACTTTGGACTTCTACCAGTGCTAAGTTCCTCTAGCACCCAAGGGTGCAAAGATTCGCTTTTCCCCCTTTATAAGCTGTGAACAGCAGCATAAGTTGCAGGTCCGGTCCTTTTTGCACCCCCATCATGCTGAAGCTCCCAAGGCGACCGCCTCTTCTGCCTACCCCTCGGCCCACTTTGGACTTCTACCAGTGCTAAGTTCCTCTAGCACCCAAGGGTGCAAAGATTCGCTTTTTCCCCTTTATGAGCTGTGAACAGCAGCATAAGTTGCAGGTCCGGTACTTTTTGCACCCCCTCATGCTGAAGCGCCCAAGGCGGCTGCCTCTTCTGCCTACCCCTCGGCCCACTTTGGACTTCTACCAGTGCTAAGTTCCTCTAGCACCCAAGGGTGCAAAGATTCGCTTTTTCCCCTTTATGAGCTGTGAACAGCAGCAGAAGTTGCAGGTCCGGTCCTTTTTGCACCCCCCATCATGCTTAAGCACCCAAGGCGGCTGCCTCTTCTGCCTACCCCTCGGCCCACTTTGGACTTCTACCAGTGCTAAGTTCCTCTAGCACCCAAGGGTGCAAAGATTCGCTTTTCCCCCTTTATTAGCTGTGAACAGCAGCATAAGTTGCAGGTCCGGTCCTTTTTGCACCCCCCATCATGCTTAAGCACCCAAGGCGGCTGCCTCTTCTGCCTACCCCTCGGCCCACTTTGGACTTCTACCAGTGCTAAGTTCCTCTAGCACCCAAGGGTGCAAAGATTCGCTTTTTCCCCTTTATGAGCTGTGAACAGCAGCATAAGTTGCAGGTCCGGTACTTTTTGCACCCCCGTCATGCTGAAGCGCCCAAGGCGGCCGCCTCTTCTGCCTACCCCTCGGCCCACTTTGGACTTCTACCAGTGCTAAGTTCCTCTAGCACCCAAGGGTGCAAAGATTCGCTTTTTCCCCTTTATGAGCTGTGAACAGCAGCATAAGTTGCAGGTTCGGTACTTTTTGCACCCCCGTCATGCTGAAGCGCCCAAGGCGGCTGCCTCTTCTGCCTACCCCTCGGCCCGCTTCGGACCAGAGCATGGGTTCTTGGAGATCGCTGAGCAATCACCCCAACCATAAAAAGTCGCTCCGACATCTGGAAGGCGCCAAGCTGGACAGAGATTGATAAGAAGTGGTGGTTGCGGTGGAGTGAGTGAGGTGGCCCCGTGTTATCTCTGCTGAAAGGCTATGCTCATATCCTCTGCAGCCGTTCCATCCAGCGCCCCCCCCCCCCATGTGTTTGTGAATTGTCAGGGGTAAGAAGACACGGCAGGGCCGGGCCTTCCTGTTTTCACCGCACAAGCTCCTCTTCCTGTGCAAGTTTCTGATCGTCACCTCTCTGCTTCTCAAGAATTTGTCGAGAGAGAGAATCCGGTAAAAGAAAACTGCAAAAGAAGGCAGATTTCGAGCCGCAGAAACGCCCCCCCCCCCCCCCAAAAAAAAAAACTTCTCAGTGCGTGCCGCATCCCAAGGCAGACTGGTGGTGCCGTGGTTGGGATTCAAACCGACGACCCCAGTGCTGCCAGGCAGAAGTGCTAACCACTTAGCCACTGCGCTACCCATACGCTACACCAGGGGCGGACTGACCATTTGGAAACTCTGGCACTGCCCGAGGGCCCGGGGTCTGCAGGGGGGCCCCATGAGATGCCCCTGGTACCTTTTTCATAGGCTTTTTTGAGTTTGGGCAAGGACACAGGGGCCCCATGATCCCCTATTGCCCGGGGGCCCCATGAGTTGTCAGTCCGCCCCTGCGCTACACAATAGACACGTGCAGTCCGTTCTGTCCCAATTCGAAATTCGAGCGACATTTTCGTTATTTGGAGATTTGGATCCGTCCGAATTTCTGAAATCGCAACACCGACGAATTTAAACGAACCCGAAATGGCGAAACGAAAATTTCCTCCGAAAACCAAATTCAAAATACAAAACATAATAGCCGATTTCCTTTCAAAGTCTATATGTGCGTTATTGTTAGGACAGAGCCGTGTTCCGAAAATTAAATAAAATATAATATATAAAATAAAAATATACAATAAAAATATAAAATAAAGGAATAGAATAAGAAAAAAAATAGATTAGAAAATAAAAGAATAGAAAAAAACAAAATAAAAGAAAAAAAAAAGAATAAAATAGAATAGAAAATAAAAAAATAGAAAATCAAATAAAATATTATATATAAAAAAAAAAAAAAAAAAAAAAAAAAAAAAAAAAATAGAATAGATAAAAAAAAAATTAGAAAATAAAAGAAAAAAATAAAAAAAAAAAAAATCAAAAAAAAAAGAATAAAAAAAAAAAAAAGCATAAAAAAAAAATAGAAAAGGAAAAAAAAAAAAAAGATTAGAAAAAAAAGAATATAAAAAAAAAAAATCTGAAAAAAAAAAAAATGGAATAGAAAAAAAAAATTAGAAAAAAAAAAAAAAAAAAAAGAAAAGTAAAAAATAAAAAAAAAAATAAACAAAAAAAAAAAAAAAAAAAAAATTAGAAAAAAAAAAAAAAAAAAAAATAAAAAAAAAAAAAAAAAAAAAAAAAAAAAAAAAAAAAAAAAAAAATAAAAAAAATAAAAAAGGAAAAAAAAAAAAAAAAAAAAAGAAAAAAAAGAATAAACTCTTCTGAAATCTGAGTTTAAAAAAAAATGGAATAAAAAGAAGCGATTAGAAAAAGAAAAAAAAAATAAAAAAAGTAAAAATAGACTAAAAAAAAAATAAATAGTAAAAAAAAATAAAAAAAAAAAAATAAAAAAAAGAAAAAAAAAAACTGGAATAAAAAAGAATGGAAAATAAAAATAGAAAAAAAAAAAAAGAATAGAGAAAAAAAGAATAAAAAAAAAAAGAATAAAAAAAAAAAAAAAAAAAAAAAAAAAAAAAAAATAGATAAGAAAAAAAATAGATTCAAAAATAAAATAATAGAAATAAAAAAAATCAAAAAAAAATAAAATAGAAAAAAAAAAAAAAAAGGAATAGATAAAAAAAAAAAAAAGATTAGAAAAAAAATAGAAAAAAAAAAAAAAAAAAAAAAATAAAATAGAAAAAAAAAACAGAATATAGTCTTCTGAATTCTGAATTTCAAAAAGAATGGAATAGAATAGAACAGAAAACAGAAAAAAAAAAAGAGTAGTAAAAAAAAACTAGAAAAGAAATAAAATAGTAAAGAATAGAAAAGAAAAAATAAAAAAAAAGAAAAAAAAGACTGGAATAAAATAGAATGGAAAATAAAGGAATAGAAAAAAAAAAAAAAAGAATAGAAACAA